AGGTGTTCCCCCAATGTCCCCAGTGTTCCCCCAGGTTCCCCAGGTGTGTCCCCCACATCCCTAGGTGTCCCTCAGGTGCCTCAGGTGTGTCCCCAGGTGTGTCCCCAATGTCCCCAGCTGTCCCCAGGTGCTCACGGAGCTCGTTGAACAGAAAGGCCTCCTGGTACTCCCTCATGTACTGAGTGGAGCGCGACTCGTCCAGGAACAGGGAATAGACACGTTTGATGTCCTCCACGCCCACCTCGGCGCCCTGCCGGGCCACAAACGTCACCAGGGATCCCAAAATATCCCACCCCGTGTTTCCCACCCTCTATTCCTGTTTGCCACTCTTGTGCCTCCTCACGTTTCCTGACCAATTTCCTCCTTCACCTTTCCTGCCTTTTTCCCCCCCTCACATTTCCAGCTATTTCCTTTCTCTCAGTTGCCGCCATTTTGTCCCCTCAGGTTTACCGTTTTTTCTCACTTTTCTCACTTTTTTCTCCGCTAACATTTCCCACTGATTTTCCCCTTTACATTTCCTGCCATTTTGTGTCTCATTTCCCACTTTTTCCCCTCAGATTTCCCGCCCTTTTCCCCCTCACATTTCCCACCGTTTTCCCCTCATGTTTTCCCGCCCTTTTCCCCCTCACATTTCCCACCGTTTTCCCCTCATGTTTTCCCGCCCTTTTCTCCCCTCACATTTCCCGCTCTTTTTTCTCCCCTCACATTTCCTGCCCTTTTCCCCCTCACATTTCCCATTTTTTCTCCTCAAGTTTTCCACCCTTTTTTCCCTTTACATTTCCCTCCCTTTTCTCCTTTCACGTTTCCCACCCTTTTCCCCCTCATTTTCCCGGTTTTCCCCTCACGTTTCTCTGCCCTTTTCTCCCCTCACATTTCCTGCCCTTTTCCCCCTCACATTTCCCATTTTTTCCCCCTCAAGTTTCCCACCGTTTTTTTCCCTTCACATTTCCTGCCCTTTTCTCCCCTCACATTTCCAGCCATTTCCTCCCCTCACATTTGCCACCATTTTATCCACTCAGGTTTATCACTTTGTTTTCCTCACTTTTCTCATTCTCTCTTCTCCACTAACATTTCCCACTGATTTTGCCCTTTACATTTCCTGCCATTTTGTGTCTCATTTCCCACTTTTTCCCCTCAGATTTCCTGCCATTTTCTCCCTTCACGTTTCCCACTCTTTTTCTCCTCACATTTCCCATTTTTTCCTCCTCAAGTTTCCCACCCTTTTTTCCCTTTACATTTCCCTCCCTTTTCTCCCCTCACGTTTCCCACCCTTTTTCTCCTCACATTTCCCATTTTTCCCTCCTCAAGTTTCCCCACCCTTTTTTTCCCTTCACATTTCCCTCCCTTTTCCCCCCTCAAGTTTCCCGCTCTTTCTCCCCTCAAGTTTCCCACCATTTTGTCCCCTCACGTTTCCCACCATTTTCACCCCTCACATTTCCCACCCTTTTTCCCCCCTCACATTTCCCACCATTTTTCCCTCCCTCACATTTCCCACCATTTTTCCCTCCCTCACAGTTTCCCACTCTTTTCCCCAAGTTCCTCTGAGACCCCAAACCATCAGGAACACCCCAAATCCACACTGACCTCCCCCAAATCTCCCTCACCACCTCATCTCCAGGCCCCACCATGCTGCCCCCCCCCATCCCCACAATCTGGAATCCCCACCCCACCTCCTGACCGCCCTTTTTGCTCAGATTTTGGGGTGTCCTGAGGCTTTGGGGTGCCCCCCACCTTGCGTTTCCTGGCCACCAGGCTGGCGGCGGTGATGAGCTGCATGGCGTAGCGCAGCGACGTCTCCAGCCCGATGCGCGTCAGCACCGCGTACGCGTCCTCCGTCATCTCCACGTCCTCCTCCTCGCACCTGAGCCCCCAAACCAAGTCAGGGGGACCCCAAAACGACCGAGGGATCCCCTAAAAAATGGCACAAAAAAAGGCCTGGGGGCATCCCAGTGGGGTTATGGGGTACCCGGAGGGGCTGGTGAGGACCCAGGTGGGCAACTGGGGGGTGCCTTAACGGGTTGGGGGGCAACCTGCAGGGATTAGGGGTGGCCCAGAGGGGTTTTGGGGTGTCTGGGGGGACCCTGAAGGAGTTAAGGGGCACCCCAAGGGTGATCAGGGCACCCCAAGAAAATTTTGGGTGTGTTGAGGGGGACCAGCCATGTTTGAGGTTCAGGGCATTTTGGGTGTGCAGGTGGGTTTCAAGGTTCAGGTTGATTTTGGGATGTGCCCAGGTGTCTTTGGGGTGTCAGAAATGGATTTTGGGGGTCTCCACCCTATTTTGAGGATCTGCTGTGCCTCCTTCTCCCCATACAAGGCCATGGCGATGGTTTTTGGGGTGCCCAGGTGTGTCAGGGTGTGGTCTGGGCTGTGCCAAGGAGGGTTTTGGGGTCCTCGGGTGTGTCAGGGTGTGTTTTGGGCTGTGCCAAGGAGGGTTTTGGGGTCCTCAGGTGTGTCAGGGTGTGGTTTAGGCTGTACCAAGGTTGATTTAGGGGTGCCCAGGTGTGTCAGGGTGTGGTTTGGGCTGTGCCAAGGAAGTTTTAGGGGTGCCCAGGTGTGTCTGGGTGTGTTTTGGGGTCCTCAGGTGTGTCAGGGTGTGGTTTGGGCTGTACCAAGGTTGATTTAGGGGTGCCCAGCTATGTCAGGGTGTGGTCTGGGCTGTACCAAGAAGGTTTTAGGGGTGCCCAGGTGTGTCTGGGTGTGGACTGGGCTGTGCCAAGGAGGTTTAAGGGGTGCCCAAGTGTGTCAGGGTGTGGTTTGGGCTGTGCCAAGGATGATTTAGGGGTGCCCAGGTGGATTTTTGGGGTGTCCCACCTGATTTTGAGGATCTGCCGGGTCTCCTTGTCGCCGTACGGGGCCGTGGCGATGATCAGCAGCCGGTCCAGGAGGTCCAAGGGCAGCCCGTGGGGGCTGCGGTGGGCAGTGCCTCGGATCCTGAGGGAACAGGTGGAGATGAGGGGGGGGTTCAGGTGAGGTTTGGGGGTGCCCAGGTGTTGCCCAGGTGTGCTCAGGTACCTGGTGATGCCGCGGTTCGTGGCCATGATCAGCACTGGCGCCATGTCGCTCTCCAGGGCCCGGTTGAGAAACGAGAAGCTCTCGATGTCCAACATGTGAACCTCGTCGATGAACAACACCTGGGGGGGTTTGGAGGGTCTTGGTGACCCCCAAGGGTGTTCTGGGGGTCTCCAGGGGGTTTTGGGGGGGTCCCAGTGCAGCTCATTTGTCACCTGGTTCCCCAGAAAGGTGGATTTTGGGGAAGTCTTGGTGGGTCCAGGAAAGGTTTGAGGGGCCCTGGGAGTGTTTGAAGAATCTCAGGGAGGTTTGAGGGGTCCCAGGGGAGATTTTAGGGGGTCTGGAGTGGGTTTTGGGGATCCCTGAGGGGATCTGAAGGATCCCTGAAGGATTTTTGGGACATTCTGGTACAGCTAATTAACATTATTTATCACCTGGCTCCTTGGAAATGTGGGTTTTGGGTGTCCCCGGAAGAGTTTTTGGTTACTCTGGGGGAAATTTCGAGGTTTTGAGGGGCTCATGGAGGTTCCCAAAGGGATTTTGGGATCCTTGGGAGGGATCCTAAAAGAATTTGGAGATCCCTGATGGGATTTTGGTGGTCCTGGAAGGGTTTCAGTGGTCCCTGACAGATTCCTGGGAGTCCCTAGAGGGGCTTTAGGGGGTCTCAGGGTGAATTTGGGGGTCCCCAGGAGGGTTTTGGGGGGGTCAGGGCTTACCCCAGGGATGACTTCAGCCTTGCCCTCCTCACGCCACTCGGCCACTTTGGCGTTGATCTGCTCCCGCACCTCCGGCTTGATCTCACCTGTGTCACCTGGATTTGGGGTTTGGGGGAGAGTCAGGGGCAGTTTTGGGGGTCCCAGGTGCAGTTTTGGAGTCTGAGATTACCTGAGAAAAGGGCCAGGAATCCCCTGGGCTGGGTGAGGGACAGTTTTGGGGTTTTGGGGTCACTTTTGGCATCAGTTTTGGGGTCAGGGGGCACCTGAGAACAGGGCCAGGAATCCCTGGGCTGGGTGAGGGACAGTTTGGGGGTTTTGGGGTCACTTTTGGGGTCAGTGTTGGGGTCAGTTTTGGGGTCTGGGGGTACCTGAGAACAGGGTGAGGAATCCCTAGGTTGGCTGAGGGACAGTTTGGGGGTTTTGGGGTCGGTTTTGGGGTGAGTTTTGGGGTCCGGGGGTACCTGAGAACAGGGCCAGGAACCCCTGGGTGCGGGAGTTGATGACGTCGATCTCGTGCAGCGACACCGTGTGCACGACCTCGCGCCGCTTCTGCAGCTCCCCATCGGGGCACTGCACGAATTTCGTCTGGGGTGGGGGGGGAGAAAAATTCAGGGGGTCAGGGCAACCCCAAAAGCCCCCTGCAGCCCCCACAGACACCCCCAAAAACCTCACCTGTGCCCCCATGGCGTCGTAGTCCCGTGCCCGGGTGAAGGAGCGTCCCAGCTTTGAAATCTTCCCCGTGGCCTTGTCGATGGTGATGACGTCCCTGGGCATGGAAATTGGTATTTTGGTATTTTTTTTCCTCCTCGTGATTCCCTCTCATGTTTTTCTCCCCTCACGTTTCCCTCCCCTTTTTCTCCTCCTGTTTCCCGCCCTTTTCCCCCTCACATTTCCCACCTTTTT